CACACACACACACACACACACACACACACACACACACACACACACACGGTTCAAAGAAATTTCCAGAGAGGCATTTCCATTCAAAAAGGAAGCGTCTAGTCTCTTTGCCAGTGCAGAATCTCTTAACATTTAAGCCAGTTTCTCAGGCCAATGTCACTTCTAGCCCATGCAGTATGGGCACAGGATATCTTCTTAGACCTTGCTTTTTGTTTGTTAGATAAAAGGAACTCCTTTTTCTTCTATCGGTCTAGCTCTTTTTACGATAGTTATAGTTATTCTAGTTAAAGGCTATATGATTCTGGAGGCCTTCAGTCAATATGGCAATGTGAAAGGTAATATGGAAGCCGAGATCTCCCACAAATGCTCCAGCAGCTAGGTGGGACAGTAGGTGGAGGGCTTGACCTGGAGTCGGAAAGACCTGAGTACAAATCCTACTTCAGACATTTATATACCAGCTGTGTGATCCTGGGCAAGTCACTTACTTCAGCTCTGTCTGCCTTGGTTTCCTCGTCACCTATAAAATGGACATAATAATAGCACCAACCTCCCAGTTGTTGCATGGATAAAGTAGGATCATGTTTGCACTTTGCAAACCTTTTTAAAGTGTTATATAAATGCTAGCTATTATTAATAGTAGAGGTACTAGATGGAACAATGATCAAGGAGGCTAAAGAGAAACACAGCTGAGATCCTCCATCTATCCCACAGTTGTATAAGAACAGGGCCAGTAGCCTGTGGGTGTTTGGAAAGGGATGAGACCGGAAAGGCAGGAGCCTATGTAAGCTCTGGTAAACAGGACCTCACACTAGTGGGATCTTGGCCCTGGCCTGCTGGAGCATCAGTGGTGGAACAAATAGCCCCTGAGAGGTCACAGAGGGCCCAGGGAATTTGAAGAAGCCTAAATCATTGCAGGAGACAGAGCCAATACAGTACCCAGGTAACCGGTGCAGTGGAGGACCTTCCAAAAGGCCCTAGACCAGCCTAATCTCCAATATCCAATTACAGCCTGTCCCAGCAAGGTGAAAGAGCCAACTCCTAATCAGAGACAAAAGGAGAAGGAGACAGAGATGGGGATGAAGCTAGCACTCATGTTAGGCCTCTGAGAGATGGAGTCAGAAGCTTGGAATTATGACAGAAGGCAGGGCCTAGTCTCAGTCAATAACATCAAAATTAGGTTTCTTCAATCTAGAAAATAATGTGAGTTGTACTGAATGACCTCTAAAATTCATTCTAGGCCCAACATTCTAAGATTCATGACAAGTAAAACTCTTTCATGATTTTAAAGAAAGACTTTAAAGAAATATGAAAATCTTTAGAACCCAGAATTCAACAACTAAATTTTGCTGTCGTTGAAGTAAACATTTATTCATGGCGTTGCAAAGCCATCAAGTCATATTAAACCCAACATGTTTCTAATTTAGAAAATGAAACCAACTCTTGCTCCGCTACCATGACATGAAGACAAAGATGACTGAAAGCTAGAGATCGTTCTTAAAAACCATTTTAATTGATACAACTTCAACCACTTTTCCCTTCCAACCAAGTGGCTTTTTCTTATCTCTCCATGCCTTCTTTTGGCTAACACAGAAAAGGTCTCATAGTATAGGGAGGAGATGGCTGGGCATGGAGTCAAAAGACCAGTTGCTCCAATGGTCAGCAATAAAAAAAGGGTGATAATAACAATGGAGACAAGAACTGGCATTGACATAGCATTTTATATCTTTACAATGACACTATAAGGTAGGTACTACAGGTATCTTTGTTTTTACAGAAGAGGAAACTGAAGTTAAGAGGCTTCCCCATTGTCACATAGCTAGTATGTATCAAAGGCAAAATTAGAACCTGGGTTTGGTCCAAACCTAGCCCTCTATTCATTACACTACACTGGAAAAGCACTTTGCAAACTATAAAATATTAGATGTGTGTGAATTAAATTATAATGAGAAAAAATTGCCAAAGAGTGGAGAAAGAAGAGGCAAACCATTTCAGGTAATCTAGACAATGAATCGTTAGTCCCTCCCGATCAAGGGTGACCCCATAATTCCTCCAGGCATCCCTCTGAAGCAGTATAGTATGTCTTCCTAATGAAGACTGGAGAGGTTTAGCAAACTGGCCAAAGGCAAGGAAGCAAGTCAATGACAGAATGAAAATCAGAATGTTCCGGTTTCCATTCTTGCTTTAATAATAGTTTTTACTGACACACTTCATTCCTCTGAATGTATCTGTGAGGGATGCATCCCTGTGACTGTATTTCTGCCCTTTGTAGGAAGCACAGCCCAGAGGGGCAGGGGAGGATCAGCTAGACAAGACAGAGACACACAGACTGTTCATCAATAAGTGAAATGTGACTGATGCTCATCCCAAATTGGATTTTAAATGAGCTCACATTTTAAATGAGCTCCATACTTTACCGACAAGTTTGTTTTCAACATGCAATAGGCAAAAGTACCTGCAAGGGACATGGCTAATCCCACCCACGGTCACTGGGATGATGCCTGGTAAAAGATAAATGTGTTCTTTTGGCAGAGAAGCACCAAATGGTATAGTGAATACGTCCATGGACTTGGAGTCTGGAAGACCTGAGCTCACAATCCTACCTCAAATACTTACTAAGTGTGTGACCCTGGGCAAAGCACTTCATTTTTCTGTGTCTCAGTTTCCTCATGTGTAAAATGAGGGGATTTGGGGATTCACTAGATGACCTCTTTGGTCCCTTCCAGTTTCAAGACTGACACAGACAGGACCACTGGGATCTCTCTCAGGAAACTCACCATTTTGATGATCTCATCTTCAACTTGACGCAGTTCTGAATGCTTTTCAAGAGTAGCATTAGCAAAAGTTTTTCTTAACTTAGTTTCTGTCACAAATGTTCTAGCTGAAAATAAAAGAATGAAAGTTATCCATTAGCCCAACTTATAAACAGCCCTATCCTATTTTTTTAGGTTTTATTGATGTGTTTTATTTTATAATACATACATTTACAGATTACTTTCACTTTGTGAGAGGTTTCTTGTAAAAAAATAGATAATTAAGTAAAATTAATAATAACACTTTGACCACATCTGAAAGTACATGTAACATTTCACATCTGTGTTGTTTTTCACTCATTTTTCAGCTGCGTCTGACTCTTTGTGACCCCATTTTGGTTGTTGGGGGTTTTGGGGTGGGGCAAAGATACTAGAGTGGTTTGACATTTCCTTCTCCACCTCATTTTACAGATGGGGAAACTGAGGCAAATAAGATTAAGTGACTTGCCCAGGGTCACATAGCTAGTAAGTGTCTGAGGTCAGATTTGAACTCAGGGAGATAAGTTCTTCCAAATCCAGGTCCTGTGCTCTATCCGCTGTGCCACCTAGCTGCCCTTACTTCCTCAATTCTTACAGAATAATAGTATTTCATCATATTCACACATTACAACTTATTCAACCATCCCTCAACTGATGAATGTCTCTTTAGTTTCCAGGTTTTTTTTTTGTGTGTCCACAAAAAGAGCTGTTTTAAATATTTTTGTACATTAAGGACCTTTTCTTCTTTCTTTGATCTCTTTTGGGTATAGGCCTAGCAGTGGTACAGTCCAATTTATAACACTCCTGTCCCATTCTTTTTGTTAAGTCAGATAGCTAGGTGACTACCTACATAGAAGCACTACAAAAAAAAAATGAAACTTACAGCTGAAATGTTAAGGAAAAACAGACAAAGAAAAAACTTCCTTATCTCCTCTATAGACCCTAGAATGGTACTCTGTTATAGGATAGGTACTCGTTTTTTCTCCTCTTGAAATCAAATCAAGTAGACAAATGAGGATAAAGTCTTTATTTGGGAGAAAAAGAAGACGCTGAATAGGCAACAGGGTACAACCAAGACTAGTTTAAAAAAAAAAAAGCTTTCCATGTTGCTTTTTTGAGTTTCTGGTTTTTTGTTTTTCAGAGGGGAGAGCTGTATATCCCTGATGGCCTTTACAAAAATCCAACTTGAGTCTTCAAGATAATAAATTCCTTATCTCTCTGACTAGACAATGAGTCCTTCTGGATTTTTCCAATTCTTCTTCTAATCCCATGCACCTTTCAACAAGCATTAAGCCTGTGCTGGAATTTCAGCCATGCAAAAAGGGATTATTAGGTCATCATCCTTGCTAGTATGCTTTGGGAAAAGCAGGGACTATAGAGATGTCAGATAATTCTGGTGGAGCCCACTATGTTGCTACCATCTCCAGTTAAATCAGCTTTATCATGCAAACAATTCATATAAAAGACCTACTGTTTTGGGGGGTTGGGGCAAGGATAGAGTACTGCATTTAGAGTCAGGAAGTTCTGGTTTCAAATGCCTCTGACACTAACTGATTCTGGGCAAGTCACTTAATATCTCTGATTCTCAGTTTTCTTCTTATGTAAAATAAAGTGGATAGTGGTTAGAGTACTGCATTTAGAGTCAGGAAGTTCTGGGTTCACATCCTGCCTCTGACACTAACTGATTCTGGGCAAGTCACTTAATATCTCTGATTCTCAGTTTTCTTCTTCTGTAAAATAAAGGAACTTGGCATAGATGGCCCTGAGGTCCCTTCCATCTCTAAAATCTATGATCCCATAATTCCCTGGAGCAAAGGAAGAAAAGCATATAGAACAGTGGAAAATGCTGATATACTGTCTGGTTCTCATGTCACCTTCTGCTCATGAAATGCAATTCTGCTTAGCATCCTCTTACTTATAAACAAGTAACAGAGAATCTGTGCAAGAATATTTGATATTAGGCCATGCCATAAATTTCTGTCTAAATTAGAAAAAAATGTGGGTGGGGGGGAAACTAGGCAGAAACCTATGCTGCTGCTCTTTCATGGAAAACACGTGGGCTGAGCTAAAATACAGGGCCCTGGAATTAGATGGGGAAAATATTTTACATCTTATACTTAATGACTGAAGCCCTTAATCCTTCTTTAACACAGCCCTCATCTTTTGGGTTGTTCTACAGCTCAGCAAAGCCAGCTTTCTAAGCAGCAGGGAGCTCTTTGAAAACAATCTCAGCCAAATGAGCCCTCTTTGGCACCCGTTAATTTGCATGTTCCTCTGCTGTGTTTAAGAACAATGAAGTTAAATGACTCGAAAATGGAAAGATGATTGCTAATGTAATGGGACAGCTCTCCTAAGATTCCATTGTCACTAGTGGTACATCCATCATGCATTATTCAAGAGCAATCATCAGCTGCATTTATTCTCCCCCAACCCCAGCCCCATCCTTGGGATCACAAAGGACATACATGTCTCTGGCCAAGAGGCCAATCATAGAAAAACATGTATTATCAAACACTAGGTGCTCAAATCTCTCTCTGAATCAGAGAAGGACTCCAAAATTAGTAGGGCCTCAGATTTCAAAGATTGCCTCAGAGATCATAGCAATATGGCCCTTCTGCATCTTCTATCTGGAAGCCTTAGGAAGGGCAATCAGGATGGTGAAGGACTATTAGCTCATGTCATAAAAGGAATGGCGAAAGGGATTGGGGATGTTTAGCACCGAGAAGAAAAGACATCAATGAAAATGAAAACTATGCTCATGTATTTGAAAGGTTATCTATCATGTGCACAAGGGTTAGAAGTGCTCTGTTTAGGGGCAGCTAGGTGGTGTAGTGGATAGAGCACTGGCCCTGGAGTCAGGGGGACCTGAGTTCAAGTCCAGCCTCAGACACATAATACTTGCTAGTTGTATGATTCTGGGCAAGTCACTTTTAACCCCAATTGCCTCACTAAAGGAAAAAAAAAAAAAGAAATGCTCTGTTTGGTCTCAGAGAGCCAAATTAGGAGTAATGGGTGGAAATGACAAAGATGCAAATTTTAGATTGAGGTCAAGAAAAACTTTCTAACAATAACAGTTATCCATGAGTGGAACAAGCAGATTTAGGAGTGAGTGAGTTCACCTTCCTTGGAGTTCTTTAAGCAAAGGCTGGATGACCATTTGTTGGGTATATTTTAGTGAAGATCCCTTTTTTCAGGTGTGGGTTGGCCTCAATAGTTGATGAAGTCTCCTCTGATACTGATATTCTGTGATTACGTGACATCTTATCCCCTACCCACAGATCCACTTACTCATTTATCTTTGTAATTATTTCAGTTGTTTTTAAATCATGTCTGACTCTTCTGTGATCCCATTTGGAGTTTTCTTGGCAAAGATACTTAAATGGTTTGCCATTTCCTTCTCATTTTACAGATAAGGAAACTGAGGCAAACAAGGTTAAGTGACTTGGTCAGTTTCACAGAGCTAGTAAGTGTCTGAGGCCAGATCTGAACTCAGGAAGATAAGTCTTCCTGACTCCAAGCCTGGCACTCTATTCACTGTGCCACTTAGCTGCCCCTATGCTTAGAATTACAAAAGCTCTATTTGGTTTTAAGAGTTTCTGACTCCTCATTTCAAAAGCTAATTTCTGTTTCCCATAGTTCCGGAATAGCAACAGGAACTGGACCTATGGTTTCATTAACATAGGACACTACAGGGTGCAGAAATTCCTTATACCAATGCAGGTCAGTTCATTCTTTGAAATTTATAGTCTTGAAAATGGCCTAAAAGAGTACCAAGAAGGTAAATGACTTGCTCAAGGTCACATAGCTAGGAAGGCAGGATTTGAACTCAGGTTTTCCTGGCTCAAAGTCCAGTGCTCTACTCACTCCACCACCTAGCCACCCTAGAGAACAAATCAGGGTAAGGATATGAACAAATGCGGCTAACTCTCTTACCCAAGTTACAGATTCCTTTTTCTAATTGGTGCCCAACAGGACATCTGCAGACAAAGGATCCCTGGGTGTTGTTGCATATGGCCAGAGGCGGGCAGGGGTTTGACAGACATTCGTTCACATCTGAAAAGAAAAGGCAGGAATAGCATGTGAGCTGAAGGGTGGGAAGTGAAATGATAACATAAAGCAGATGCGCACTTACAATGTTGGTATAGGCTGCCTTCTCAAGGTCAGTCCTTGTTTTCATTTAAGAGCCTAAGGACAATGTTCAAAAACAAAGCTAAACAACAGCTTCAACCCTGCGACTCTATACAAGGAAAAAAAAAAAAACACAATAAAAACCCACTGGTATTTGAGCCAGATTCTCCAATAGCTGTATTTCTAATTGGGTGTGTATACACACACAGACTTGTGATTTCATTGGTCCTCTCATAGAGAGCTTCCCAGTAAGAAAACTCCCTCTACCCATACAGATTAACAACGGTTATGCAATAATAATCTCAGAGAATTGCCTAGGGTACTGAGACATTAAGTGATTTATCCTGGGTCACACAGCTGGTATGTGTCAAAGGTAGGACTTTAACTCATGTTGTCCTGGCCTCCCGACATTCTGCCAGGGGTTGTTGCAGGAGAAGGGTCATGTGAAAGACAAACAGAGAGGCAGACAGAAACGGAAAGATATGAAGAGACAGAGTCAGAGAAATGGAGTCAGAGAGGCAGGGACAGAGAGAGAAGACAGAGGGAAAGAGAGAGAAAGACCAAGATATAAGGAGAGGAAGGAAGAAAGGAAGGAAGGAAGGGAGGGAGGGAGGAAGGAAGGGATGGAGGAAGGAAGGAAGGCAGGAAGGAAGGAAGGAAGGAAGGAAGGAAGGAAGGAAGGAAGGGAGGGAGGGAGGAAGGAAGGGATGGAGGAAGGAAGGAAGGAAGGAAGGAAGGAAGGAAGGAAGGAAGGAAAAGGAAGGAAAAGGAAGGAAGGGAGGGAGGGAAGGAAGGAAGGAAGGAAGGGAGAGAAGGAAGGAGGGAGGGAGGAAGGAAGGAAGGACCCTGCCCTGGCTCTTACCCACACTGCAGTCATCGCCTTTCCACGAAGGGGTGCAGATACACCGATATCCAAGGCCACTGGAATCCACAACGCACTTCCCATCATGAAGACAAGGGTTTGCAGCACATCTATTGACTAAAACCAGGTTTTGAGAATCAATCAGGATGAACAATTTAGGTGTGGTGTTAATAGAAATACTCAGTTTTCCCAAGTAGTAATGCGTCCTACCTCCCACTGTTCCCTTACTCATTAAGGGACACACTAGGATAGAGTGGGCTTCCAAGAGTTACATAGGTGAAGCTAGAGACGGGACCTCTGTGGATGGTGGGGATGAGGAATAAGCATTTCTCTATCACCTACTATTTACTTTAAGATCTCTCAGCTAAGGCAGGGTGATGACAACTATATTCAGGCCAAGGACAATGAGATCCCTTTGTAATACCTGGAGAATCCTGTTAGGATCAGTGTAGATTAATAACATATATCAAGTGATGAAAAAACAAAACAAGCACAAAAAATTTTTTCGTATATCACAGAAAAAAAATTGAGACACTAATGCACAGTTCGTAGAATTGTGAACTGATCCAACAATTTTGGAGAGTATTTTGGAAATATGCCTAAAAGACTATAAAACCATGAATACCCTTTGACCCAGCAATACCATTACTAGGTCTGTATCCCAAAAAGATCAAAGAAAAAAGAAAAAGATCTTATACGTACAAAAATATTTATAGCAGCTTTTTTTTGTGGTAGCAAAGAATTGGAAATTGAAGAATACCCATCAATTGGGGGATGGCTGAATGAGTTATGGTAAAAGATTGTAATGGAGTACCATTGTGCTATAAGAAATGATAAACACGAAGCTTTCAGAAAAACCTAGGAAGACTTACATGAATTGATGCAAAGTGGAGTGAGGAGAACCAGGAAAACAGTGTACACTGTAACAGCAATATTATACGATGAACAACCGTGAATGACTTAGCTATTCTCAGAAACATGATTCAAGACAATTCCAAAGGATTTAAGAAGAAAAGTGCTATCTACCTCCCGAGAAAGAACTGATGGAGTCTGAATACAGATCAAAGCATACTATTTTTTACTTTCTTTATTTTTCTTATTTTTTTTTCTTTTTCTTTTTGGTCTGCGTTCTCTTTTGTGAAATGGCTAATATGGAAATATCTTTTGCATGATTGCACATGAATAACTTATATCAAAGTTTTTGCCTTCTCAAGGAGGAGAGGGAGGGAGGTAATTTGGAATTCAAAATTATTAAAAATGAATGTTGTTTTTATATGTAATTGAGAAAAAATAAAAACATTTTTTAAAAAATTAATTAAAATATACCACAGAGAGAACTTACTCCTCAGAATTATAATTTTATTTAATTTGACAAACACTTAATAAGAATTTATTCTATATAAGGCACTATGCTGGGTCTCAGAGTTTATGTTCAACTGCGAGAACACAAAATGTATACAATTGAGTATATCAGATTCAATTCAAGGCATATTTATTCAATACTTCCAATGTGCTAGTCATTGGGAACCAAAGGAAATGGTCTTTGATGGACACTCCATGATGGAGTGTCCAAACTCCAGGTTTGGGAGGGACAGGGGAAGGCCACTCATGAAAATGCCTACGGATAGGAAATGAAATATTAAATTCACCAAAGAGTTAGTAGTCCAGTTTGGCTGGAGTCAAGCGCATGTGAAAGGGAATAATGTGAAATAAAACTAGAAAGGTATGTTGAAACCTGATTGTCAGAAACCTTCAATATGAGATTGAGGAGTATGTATTTTATCTTAGTGGGAATAGCCAGCTACATAAGACTTTTGAGAAGGGGAATAATATGTCTTAGGAAGATTATTTTTGTAGCTATGTAGATCATAGACTGGAGAAAAGAGAGGCCAAGGCAGAGAGACCAATCCAGAGACAACTGTCATAGTCCAGCTGAAGAAGAACTGAACTTGGGACACAATCATGTGAGTGAAGAGAAAAGGATGGATGAAAGAAGTGGAATCAAAAACTTTGCAAATAGTGAGATATGGAGAGAGAGAGGAAGAAGAAGAAGGAAGTGTTGAGCATGGCCCTGGAGTTTTGAACCTGAGTAAATAGGCTACAGAGAAATGTCCGCACCCTCGACAGAAATAGGGAAGTTTGGAGGAGGGGAAAGGATTATAATCTTCAATCGCCCATCTTTTCCTGACACTTCGTGCCTTTGCTTTACTGGGGCCCTTATCAGTAACCATAGTGCCCTCCATCCACAAATAAGTTTCCAGAAATTAGTAAGTTCTCAATTCTGTGATGACAGTTATAAAAATGAGCTAGAATTCCCTACATTCCCTTACACTCATGATTGATGTCTTGTAAACACCAGAATTATCAGAATTTAAAAAAATTTCCAGCTACCCATGCATCATATGGACCTTTAACATATATGTGTACCTGACTGTAACCCATCCCCAGTGTTCATGGACCCTGTCTGTTGTTGTCTGTAGGGCAGCGGGCACAGCTCTGGGCCCAGAAGGCTTCTTAATAAAGGTGTTTGGCAAATAATCAGGAGAATGGAAATGCCTAGCTTGACTTCACTATCTGTAGTGAAATGATCAGCTTCAGATGCATAACAGGAAGGATAAGGGATCGAAATCTGACTTTGCCAATTTTACTTCCTGTATGATCTTTGGGCAAACCAAGTAACTGCAACAGGCCCCAGTTTTCTAATCTAATGAAGGAGCTGGATAAGAGATGTCTAATGTTCTTTATGGCTCTAAATTTATGATCCATCAGTCTTGGGTTAGACTTATGATTTCCATTTTTGTTCTAATATAAATACAAATTCCCTTGGCTTTGGTGCAGCTAGGTGGCACAGTGGTTAGAATGCTAGACCTAGAATCAGAATGACTTGAGTTCGAATCCAGCTGACTAGCTGTGTGACCCCGAGCAAGTCACTTAACTTTGCTGTGCCTCAGTTTCCTCATCTGTAAAATGGAGGTAATAATGACACCCACCTCCCAGGATTATTATGAGGACAAAATGAGATAATATCTGCAAATCTTAAAGCATTATATAAATGCTAGCTGCTAATGGCTCTGGGAGAGTGAATTGTATTGGTGCTAAAGCATAAGTCTCTAAGTCTTTCAGGAGATTTGTTTTTCATTTTTCTGAAGAGTTGAAAATCATCATCCGGAGTTGGGGTTAAGGGGAAGGCCATGGAATGGGGTGGCACATCCTACTCTTTGCTGAAAATGCCCATGGTTAGGGGGATGTGGCAGCAGCTGCAAACTCCCCTATGGAGTAGTCAGGCTTCCAGCATCACCAGCTGCCGGGCAGCTCCAGCATAAAAAGGGTATTGTAACTGCTTAATTTAGTCATTGCAAAGGGTTTCTCTTTCAATCTCCCTCCTCCCTACTGATCCAAAAGCCTCTTAAATGCTATTTTAGCCATTTACTTTGAACGCGTGTTCTTTACTGAGGACAGTTTGGTAAACCAAGTCAAGGCATATCTTGGACATAGTGCCAAAATATCTCTCTTGCTCCACTCCTTTTCTCAGTAAAAATAATATAATTGGCTTTATCCTGTAGATAAGGAGAAGGTAAGTTTCCTGCGAGACACCATGGGACAGACAGAGGAAGGTGGGCAGAGGACTGACTTTGGAAATGGGAAGACCTGAATCGTAGGATTTAGGACTAGAAGGGACCTCAGAGATGGAGTTCAAGCCCCTCATTTCACAGATGAGGATTCCACACCAAGAGGGCCCTGGGTAAGTGCAGAGAGGTTCACCCTCAGAGTGCTGGTCATCACAGGAATAAATCCATTGCCGAGGGCAAATACAGCAATGTGGGAGCCACATTGCTGGAGTGAGGGAGCAGTGACACGATTAAAGACATGGATCCTCAAAATGAGTAAAATTGTCTCCTCTTAGGCAGAGCAGTAGATGGGGCACAGGGCCTAGAATCAGAAGACTCATCTTTCTGAGTTCAAATCCAGCCTCAGATACTTCCTAACTGTGTGACCCTGAGCAGGTCCCTTAACCTTGTTTGCCTCAGTTTCCTCATCTGTAAAATGAGCTGGAGAAGGAAATGGCAAACCACTCCGGTATCTTTGTCAAGAAAATCTCAAAAAGGGTCACAAAGAGTAGGACATAGCTGAAAATAACTAAATAACAACTAAGAATTAATAATATTGTTGTGTTTCAGTCATGTCCAATTCTCCATGACCCCTTTTGGAGTTTTCTTGGGAAAAATACTGGAGTGGTTTGCCATTTCCTTCTCTGGCTCATTTTATAAATGAGGAAACTGAGGCGTACAGGGTTAAATGACACACCCAGGGTCACACAGCTAGGAAGGGTCTGAGACCAGATTTGAAGTCAGGAAGATAAATCTTCTTGAATTCAGGCCCAGCCCTCTATCCATTGCACTACCTAGCTACCCCCATTAATAATATTATTATTTATTATTAACAATAATATTAGCTAATATTAATAACCTACAAAATAAAAACTCTTATCAGAGAAGCCACACAGGATGGTAAACAGGACTCTGGACTTGGAGTCAAGATCTGGGTTTGAATCCCACTTTGGTATGTGACACTGAGCATTTCACTTAACTTCCTCTGTGCCTTAGTTTCCTTATCTGTAAAATAGGGGGTTGGACTTCATGGTCTCTAAAGTCCCCACTCTAAATCTAAGAGCCTATCTGTCTGCATCTCTTGCCTCTGGCCAGTATAATTTTCATTCTAGGAAACAGGGATCACAACACAGATAAACTGATTTTATGATGGGTCAGAATTGGTTAATGGACTTGTTCTAATAGGTCAGAACAGCCACATGTATTTGGATCATGGAAGCCGGAAGGCGGGAGGATGGAATGGAGACAGGGATATAGAATATAGTTTACACAAAGAGTTAAATGATTAAAGAGCATGTTGCCAATGTAAGCTACTAAAGGATGTCTCTTGATAAATCTCTGTGCTAATTGTCACTCTGAATACAAACAACTCTCACTAGTAAGAATGATATAGGACAAACAAAACTCAGGTCAATTACAATCATCAATATTAGTAGCATAACATAAAAGGAAAAGGACTCATTTCTCCTTTCTGTTAATAATTAGTTATCCAATTAGTGACAGGATCAATTAGGTGTGACCTCTTTACAAAGGTTTTTTTGTTTTGTTTTGTTTAAGCAGACCATGTACTAATGCATTGTTGGTAGAGCTGTGGATTAATAGAACCATTATAGAAAGCAATTTGGATAAAATAACTAAAATGTCCATTTTGATCCAGAGATTCCACTGCTAGGCATATATTTTCAGAGGCTATTGATTTTTTTTAAAGGGATGGGGGGAGTGATACAATATTGGGAAATATCTGTTGCAGCAAAATAAATATATCAATTTAAACTATGAAAATAATTTTAAAAGCAAAAATAATTATGCCTTCTAAAAACTAAAGACTCAGGTAGATTAAAAAACTCCAAAATAAAATTTTAAAATGTTTCTGTGGAAAGAGCACCAGATTTTGAAATAAGAAGACCTATGTTCAAATCCTGGCTTTGCCAATTATTGGCTGTGTGACTTTGGTTATTTAACTTCTCTGGGCCTCAGTTTCCTCAAATGTAAAATGAAATTGGACCAGATGACCTCTGAAGTCCCTTCAGTTCTAAGTCTATGACCCCTCGGGCTCTATGAACAGGAGGTAGTTTTAATCAGTAGAACAAACTTCAAGCAACCTACACCCTCCACCAATGCAGATTTAAACCCCTCTTTGCCTTAGTACATGATTTTATATGCTGCTGGGGTCCCAGAAGGGTCATGGTCTGTGACAGGTCCCAGATATATAGGAAATGGAAGAAATCTATAAAAAAGGTCTCTAAGGTCCTAACAGTTCTAAATCTATGAACCTATCAGTCCTCACCTTTTTTTTCTGGCCTATAAATTCTGGGACTATATAATTCAATTATTGGAGGGGAAGGAATAATTGAATTAATAACTTGATAAGAGCCAATGATTAGCCTTTGTGGTTTGAAGGAAGGAGATGATGCCCTGAGAAAATAGATGACTGAGGTGAACTTTTCTTGACCTCCAATTCTAATGCTCAATTCTTCTACATATATGTAAAAAATTATTTTCATAACTTTTTGCTGCATTTTATTTTGCTAAGACAGATGATTCCCAACAAGCACTCCCCCAAAATTAACAATTCAGTGACTCCTTCCAAAAAAATAATTGATTTATACAGCCCTGGAATTATGTAGGCCAGAGGTAAAAAATGCAGATAGATAGGCTCATAAAGTTAGAGCTGAAACAAACTTTAGACACCATTAAGTCTTTTTTTTCATTTCCCAAGTACCATAGACCATCAACTCTTTTCATTTTTTTCCTTTTGGTGAGACAATTGGGGTGAAGTGACTTGCCCAGAGTCACACAGCTAGTAAGTGTTATGTGTGCTGAACTCAGGACCTTCTGACTCCAGGGCCGGTGCTCTATCCACTGCGCCACCTAGCTGCCCCAACTCTTTTCATTTCTCATGTACCTAGGACCTAGCATAGAATGTGCATCAGCTGTGTACTTGCTAGTTACTGATTTATGAGAATGAATTTTACCTGTTGTTGAAGGTGATGTCATCATTGGTCTCGTGCTGCTCAGTGGGACTACAGTGGTTGGCTTAAGAGTCAAGGGTGCAGGAGTAGAAGTCTTTGTAGTTTGGGGGGAAAGAGATGATACCATGGGAAAATGGGCAGTGGGAGTGTCCTCTTCTTGGTTTGCTCCCCTTGAACTCAGGTCTAGCACAGGTGTGAATATACCAGTGGTGGGGATCGATATGGTGGTGGCCTGTGTCTCCACTCTGCTGGCTTCAGTGGTAGCAGAACCTTCGGTGGTTCTCTGAGACATCGTGGTCCTGGGTTCAATGGGTAGAACGGTTTTCTTGGTTGTTGCTTTCACAGTTGTAAGAACACTTATTGGAGGTGGGAGATCAGTTGAGATTGTTGAAGGCTGAATAGTTGTGTGAGTGGTGGTTGTCATAACTGCTGATGGTTGGGCTGAATTGGTGGTGGCGGCCAGGAGGGTTGGCTCTCTGAAGGACTCTGTTGGGACTGGAGGTAAAGGGACCTTGGCTGTAGAATTATTTAGCACTTTGGTTGATTCTGTTGGTGGAAGACTTGGTTGTAACTTTGACCCTATACTGGTTTTCTCCTGGTAGGGGACACTCTTATTCTTCTGATCTACTGATGGGCTACTGTGAACCACAGTAGTGAATAAATCTGTCAGTGTATCAGGTGATGTCACAGAGGACTCTCTTGCCCCAGGATCATCACTGGGGAGGACTGAGGTAGAAGACAAGTGCGGTAAAGACGATTGTTGGAATGTTATTGGGGACGGGGTGGATTCTGCCAAGTAGGTTGATAAAGGTGGCAGTGAGGAAGACGTGGACTTGGAAGATTCAGCCATGGAAAACAAGAGTGGAGAAGAAGGCAGTGTTGGCCATGAGGTTGAGGAAAATGATTGACTGAGCTGTGACACTGAGGGGGATGGCAAAGGTGGCAATGATGAAGATGGAGGGGAGTCATCAGTGGACACAGATTTGGAGACTTGAAGTAACAAAGTGTTTGGGGGAACACTGACTGTAGATGTGTATGCTGGTAAATCAGAAGAACTCACAACCAGTGGTTCAGTGGAAGGAAGGACAAATTCCCCTTCGCTTGATGAGATGTTATTTCCTTTGGGAAGAGCAGAAGAAGAAGAAGAAGAAGAAGAAGAAGAAGAAGAAGAAGACTGTTCCAAAGTCGAAGAGCTCGAGGTTCTGTTGTAGGTGGTTGAGGTTTCAATGGTGTCTGGAGATGTGCTGTTATTTGTAATAGACAATAATGTTCTGTCTTTTCCTTTGGTGAAGGCTGATGAAATGTATGTGCTGTCTGTATGGTAGCTGGGTGTCCTTTTTCCTATATGTGCGCTGCCCATTGGTCCATGGTTACTTCCAGGGGCTAAAAAGGTAAGAATCGAAATTAGGTCAATCAAACAAGTCAGAACCTCTCATGAGTCTGATTTTAAACCATCACCACCCAAGTTTAGAAGATATACCTCTCTCTCTTCTATATAGAGATGGGGGGGCAGGATATAAGTATAGAATACCATATATATTGTCATATTTGGTTTTGTAAGTGTGTATTTTTTTTATCAATTCTTTGTCATAATGGATTGCTCACTGGGTAGAAGAAGGGGAAGGATATATTTGGAAATGAAGGTGAGATTAAAAAAATGATACACCAATAAAATGGACTTGGAGTCAGGAAAGAACTGGGTTTAAATCAGATACTAGCTGTGTGACTCTGGACAAATTATTTAGCCTCTCTGTGCCTCAGTTTCCTCATCTGTTAAAAGAAAGGGCTGGTGCTGGGTTTGGTGACACATGCCTGTAATCCCTCCTGAGAAGGCTGAAGTTGGTGGATGGTTTGAGCTTGGGAGTTGTGATCTCCAATAAGGCTAACACAGACTGGTCTCAGACGTGGTCCTATACCCACGTGTTGAACCCTTAAGAGGAGTGGGGCCAACAGGCAGCCTAAGGAGGGACAAACTGACCCAGTTCAGAAAAAGAACAAGTCAAAGCTTTCATGTCAATCAGCAGTGGAACTGGGCCTGTGAGTGGCTATTTCAGTTCTTATCTGAGAAGAGACAGAAGAAGAAGAAAGAAGAGAAAGAAGAAAAAGAAGAAGAAGAAGAAGAAGAAGAAGAAGAAGAAGGAGAAGAAGAAGAAGAAGAAGAAGGAGAAGAAGGAGAAAGAGGGGGGGAGGAGGAGGAGAAGAAAGAAAAGGAGGAGGAGAAGAAGAAGAAGGAGAAGAAGGAGAAGAAGAAGTAGAAGAAGGAGAAAGAGGGGGGAGGAGGAGGAGGAGAAGAAAGAAAAGAAGGAGAAGAAGAAGAAGAAGAAGGAAAAGGAGAAGAAGAAGAAGAAGGAGAAAGAGGAGGAGGAGGAGGAGAAAGAGAAGGAGAAGGAGAAGAAGAAGAAGAAGGACAAGGAGGAGGAGGAGGAAGAGGAAGAAAAGAAGGGGTTGATGGTGTTTAAGGTCCCTTTCAGCTCTAAATCTATGATTCTATAATAAATGATATGCCAACCAGAAAAAATATGTATTTGATAAATGATTAAAACTCAGCTGGGGCTCAACTATTTTTTAGTGAATTGATCACTAATGAATGGAAAACCCTCTGAACCAGAGTCATTTGGGAAGGGTAAGGCAGGGACTATTCTAGCCATCTTGATTCCTTCCTCCCTTCCAACTTCGACTTCCTTCCTAAACCGTGGTGGCAGCGGAAGAAACAGTGATGACAATGAATCAGAGCCAGGTACTTACAAAGTGCCCACAGTCAAATTCTTCTCCTAAGGAGCCTCTCCTTTTTTGGTCAAGGGTGAGTGAATGGCTAGAAACTTCAACTACTAAACCATCCATAAGGATCCCTGTAGGCCATATATTGATTTAGAAAAACCACATATTAACATTTTCTGTGTTCTATTGTATTTTTGTTTATTAAATATTTCTCAATTACATTTAAATCTGGTTCAGGCTACACTCAGGAGTTTTGCAGTTGGCCTAGAGGGCACTGGACTTGGGGCCAGGAGCACCAGGTTTAAAGTCCCAATTCAAATACTTACTAGCTATGAGACCCTGGGCAAGTCATTTGATTGCTCTGTGCCTCAGTTTCCCTCATCTATAAAATGAGAGGTTTGGATTCAATAACCTCTGAGATCTCTTTCATCTCTAAATCTTTTACCTTATGACCAGACAAGTGGAGAGGAAATAGATATTGATCACTCATGGGTAAAAAGAACATCTATGAAAGCTAATGGTTAAAGTTATTATTGTCTTGGCATAAATTCCTGATGTTATTATCACATATTCCTTAAGTGGGGTATACCCTGAGAGTTGTAAGACTGTAAACTTATAAGAACTTGGAAGATTCCTTTCTGAATCAGAAACTAACTTGAGGCAGGAAAACCTGAGTTTGAATCCACCATCAGACCCTTCCTAGTTGTGTGATGCTAAAGAAGTCCTTTAACTTCTCTGTGCCTCAGTTTCCTCATCTGTAAAACGGGAACAGTGACAGCACCTATCTCAGAAGTTTGTTGTAAAGATCAAAAAGAAATAATATTTGTAAAAGTGCTTCATAAGCATTACAGTGTTAAATAAAAGTTAGTTATTCTAGAACCATGGACAAATCAAACAGGGCAGAGAAATGTGGAGGCAATGATCTTGGAGAAGAGAGCTTACCATCTTGGGTCTGCAAAGTGTCTGATGAAGCTGAGACAGAGTTTGTGGTGTCTGTGACTCCCATGTGAGCAATGGTGCCCTCTGTGCCACGGAGAAGCATCGTGGAGTGCTCCTCTCCATCAGAAGGCAGACTGCTATTGGTAAGAGATCGCAACGTCCTTTCTCCATTCCTAGATGAAGTAGCTGAGGTGTCTGGACTGGGATGAAGAAAACTAGAAGTACTTTCTTCCGAATCTGACCTTCTCCCCAGCTCATGGCTCCCTTCAGTGTCTAGAATGGGAATCAAAGAGGAGTGAGATAAACTTAGGAAACAATAGTATATAACTCTGAAAGCTGGCAATGAATACCCTCGTGTGGAGAATTCTAAGTATTCACACAGAGTTTTCATTGGGGGTTAGCTATGGGGAAAACCAAAATGAACATTGCACCTGCAAAGGAGAAATCAGTAGTCAAAACCTTTAAAGTTAATAGGTTTATAGGCTTGAAACCTTTGGCTTGAACCAGATCAAGGGTTCTTAACCAGAATCCACAGACACCCAAAGGTTCTGTGGATAGATTGCAGGGGATCCATGAACCTGGATGCGAAGAACATTATATCTTTTCACTTAACCTCTGATCAAAATTTAGTGTTTCCAATTGGGACCCTAATGCACTGTTGGTGCAGTTGTGAACTGATCCGATTATTCAGGAGAGCAATTTGAACTATGCTCAAAGGGCTATACAACTATGCATAAACTTTGACCCAGCAATACCACTGCTAGCACTGTACGCCAAAGGGATAAAAGGAAAAGGACCTATATGTACAAAAATATTTATAGCAGCTTTTTTGTGATGGCAAAGAATTGAAAATTGAGGGGATGAGCATCAATTGGGGAATGGCTAAACAAGTTGTGGTATATGAATGTGATGGAATGCTACTCTTCCGTAAGAAATGACAAGCAAGATGGTTTCAGAAAAGCCTGGGAAGACTTAAAAGAACTGATACAAAGTAAGGTGAACAGAACCAGGACACCATCCTACATAGTAACCGTAATATTGTATAATGATCAAAGCCTTGTATAAGCAAGAATGACTTGTTATTCTCAGCAGTACAATGACCTAACACAATTCCAAAGGACTCATGGTAAAAAATGCTATCTACTTCCAGAGAAAGAAATGATGGAGTCTGAATACAGATCAAATCATACTATTTTTTACTTTCTTTATTGTTCTTGTTTTTTTTTTGCTCTGTTTTCTTCACAGTGTGATTAATATCAAAATATATTTTACACATCTATAACCTATATCAAATTGCTTGCCATCTCAGATAAGGAGAAGGGGAGGGAGAGAGGGAAAGAATTTGGAACTTAAAATCTTAAAAATGAATGTTAAAAATTTTTACTTGTAATTGGAAAAATGGTTTTTTAAAGGAAATATTAATATAGTTCAATTTAAAGACACAATTTACTCAGAAGAAGCAGGGAAAGCACTTCCTGGTGGGGCTGGTAATTTATAAAATCACCTACTCAGGCTACTTATCTCTCAGGGAATCATTATTCCTTTGCTTGAACACTTCAGTAAGAAATGGGTGCCTGGCTTGGAATTAGTCATGCTTAAGGTGCTAAGGTTTGAGGGTTATGTGTGGGTATGAGTGCAGGAAAATGTTGCAAACAAATATTTACCTCTCTAATTTATTTGGGACATTCTATAGTAGCTGGCAGCTAGGTGGCACAGTGGATAGAGTGCCAGGCCTGGAGTCAGGAAAACTCATCTTCCTGAGTTCAAATCTGGCCACAGACACTAGATGTGTGACCCTGGGCAAGTCAGTTAACTCTGTGTGCCTCAGTTTCCTCATATGTAAAATGGACTGGAGAATGAAAGAACCACTCCAGTATCTTGGCCAAGAAAACCCCAGGTTGGGTCGCCAAGAGCCAGGCATGACTGAAAACAACTGAACAACAACAACAAAATAGTAGCTACTGGGTCCAGAGGGATGAAAATTTATCAAATATAAAGGTAGGTTTCTTTTGCTGGGCATGGTCTGCAGCCATAGTTCTGGAGCTGTGATTTCACTGGTCCAGGGAACGCTCAGTGAGGAAGTCACCTCTTCCAATACAGGTCAGCACCTACTCCCCAACTCAGTCTTAAAGTCCTTCCTGGGGCACTCAGAGAGGTGGATATGTATGAGAATAACTGTACAGGAAATGGAGATGCCAAAAACAGATGATGCACAGAACGCTGGAGGTCTTAACATGTAATTCCTGGGAATTTTTGATAACAAGGAAGCTCTGGTGATTGTACAGTTTGAAATGCTATTTTTATCATATACTTTTTTTAAAATAAATACTACTTTTATTATAAAAATACGGATTTTGGTTTCCAACATTTATGTCTAAGTGAATGTTCCCATTCTATTTAAAATTACAATGAAAAATTCACTGTGTTAAGGCATTTTTCAGCTGATGTGGGTTGGAGCTCCCAGTTAAATTATATACAATCTATGTTTCTTAACAGTAAGCAAAGTTTCATTTCTGTGTTTTTATTCCCACTGCCTTATACAAAGCCTGACATATAGTAGGTGCTTAATGAATGCTTGTTGCCTAATTGTATTGTTTATTGGTCAAACAAAATGCTCATCCAGGGACACAAGCTAGGATGGATTAGAGCTAATAATAATAGCCAACATGTATACAGTATTTAAGGGTGTATAAAGTGCTTCATTTCATTTGATCTTTACAATAACCTTTGTCAGGTCAGTGTGGTTATTATCTTCATTTAATCAGTGAGAAAACTGAGGCAGACCTGCCCAGGACCTATGTGACCCCCACAGCTACAAGTGTCTGAGGCAAGATTTCAGCTCAGGTCTTCTTGACTTGAGGTCCAGCACTCTATCCACCAAGCTGCATGGGCTGAGACTGGACCCCAAATCCTCTTGACACCAAGGCTGGCTCTTTATCTACTCTATCCAGCTGCCTCTAAAGGTAGACTTTGGATATGCTAGTTCAGCAGTCCTCAAACTTTCTGGTCTGAGGACCCCTTTACACTCCTAAAAATTACTGAGGACTCCTCCCCAGAGTTTTTGTTTAGGTGGATTATATCTATTGATATTGACCATATTAGAGATTAAAACGTCTCATCATTATTATGAAAATAGTTTTGACCTCACGGATATCCTGAAAGGGTCTCAGGGAGCCCCAGATCACACTTTGAGAACTGCTGCCCTAATTTCATGATGAGTTAAAACTGATAGATAGGCAACTTTATATAACAAATCCTGGGAACTGGAAGGTTAGGTCAGGGAGAGAGGGCTGGGAATGGAGTGAGAGGGAAGGAGAAGGTGAAGGGGGGTGGGAGAGACAGAGAGAGAGAGACATAAAAGCTATTTTGGAGAGACTCAAAGGCCATAAAAGAGAATGATTGAATCAGGTTGAAGGGTGGCTGCAACGCCAACTAGCTGACCAGTGGGAGGATAATGAAAAAAGCCTTAATAGCAGAAAACAACCACTCAGCAAATTTCTGCAGGTAGAGAACCAGGGCCCAGGGAGCTGAGATTTGACTGTGTGGTGCTGGGCAGAATCCAAGAGAACCTCCAGTCTGGGTTTAGGAGTCTGAAAGGGCAGCAGCTTTGACCTGAAAAAAGAGGCCATGGGTGTAAAACTTCTGCCCCTAAAGGGCAAGAATAGGCACAAGGGGTGAGCAAGCCAGTGTTAGGGGCAAAACAGATGTACGTGGGGGAGCTTTGAGCTAACCCCTGGTAAAGTGGCTTTCAGTCAATCATCAGTCAACAAGCTAGCATTTACTAAGGACCTACTATGTGCCAGGCATTGTGCTAGATGCTGGGGATGAAGCAATCCCTCAAGGCATCATGGTAAAGGTGCTAACTTAAAAGTCAGAAGACCTGGGTTCAAGTCCTGCTTCTCTTACGAATTCTGTGGTTTTTTGAAAGTTACCTAACCTCTCAGTGCTCTATGCAATTTTAATAAGTTTGCAGAGAAGGTGCCAACCTGCATTGGCAGAGAGGCTTTCCTCACCTGGAAGTACCCTATATGAGTGAGATCACAATTTCAATATGATGCCCTATACTCTGGTTTGTACTGATGAGCATGCTAGAAAACACAGTTTGGTTGCCATACAAATGAAAAGGAAGAGAAAAAATGTCAGGGTTGGTAATAAGGGTGTTTCTTGAGAAATGATTAGAAGTTTTCAACCTTTTTGTTAAGTGGGGCTGCTTTTCACTACCCTAAAGCTTTGTCACAAAGAGAAGGGGTCTCAGATGAGGAGGAGCACTGCCTATGAAGACCCTGACCAAGCAGGGTTGGGGGCATTGTGACATAGAGAGAGTGGTAGAGAGAGGACCTGGCAAGAGGAACCTTCTTAGAGATCTACCAAACAAGGTATTTATTAGAGGATTGTCTTGCACTGGTGGGAATCACAGATGACTGGCCAATTGGCTGGAGCACAGAAAGATCCTTGTGAGAAAGGAAACATTCATTAAATTAATCAACCAATATGCATTTATTAAGTCCTTACTATGTAGCAGGTACTGTGCTAAGTACTGAGGATACAGAGAAAGGCAAAAATAGTTCCTGCCCTCAAGTAGCTTATATTCTAGTTGGAGAGACAATATGTAAACAATTAGGAGCATACAAGACGAATACAGAATAGATGGAAAATATCATCAGAGAGAAGGCACTAGCTGCTGGGAGGATCTGGAAGGGCCTCCTGAAAACGGCGGGGTTTGAATTTGGGGTTGAATTGGTATTTTTATGCCCTGCTTCTAGCACAGTGCCCAGCAAATAATGGATGCTTAATTAATGCTGGTTGCTTGACTGATTTTGTAGAAAGAGCTAAGGTTTATGGAGATCAGAGTTATCCTAAATAAAACAAGCTCAGCCTTCTTAAAGTGTGTAGCTGAGGAAAACCAAGTTTTGGGAAATGAAAACTCACGTAAAGGATGACTCTGGGATGAAGAATCCAGCGTCTCTGAGGAAGATGCTGACAAAGATCCTGTGGAAGGCTCAAGGAGATGCGTATCATCTGGATCTGTGCCACTTTCTGGCCACTGCTTGGAGAGCTGGGTCAGGACTAAAGGGTTCACAATTTCAGGATACAAAGTGGAGTTTTCATTCACATCCACAAAAGCTCTTTGGTTGGCTATGGACCAGTGGGACATGTCCTTCCCATCTCTGGTGAAAGTCTCTAAATGGAGCCCAGCCTCAGTCTGAGTCCTAGAATTGTCATCCCCAACATCAGCATCGCTAATAGGCAGCCAATGGTCTCCTTCAAAGGCTGCAAGAAAATACAGGGAACAGATAAATCCTGCCTGCAAAAATCAGCATATTTCATTGGGTCTTTTTCAGCAGCAATACCTGGGTGTGTGAAAAATTAGCACTCGTTAAGGTCTCCTTAAAAATAACTTCTTTCTCTTTCAACATATATGTATATAGGGATAAGGACCAGACCTATGATTTCATTACTGTGGGGGACTCCCAGGTTATGAAACTCCCTCTACCAATGCAGGTTGCCATCCTCAAAGAAACTTATATAAAAGCTCCCTAAGGCACTGACTAGTCACATAACCTGTAGCTGTCAGAAGTAAGACCCTAACCTAGCTCTTCTGTTTTCCAGGACAGCCGTCTAGACTCTAGACACTACTCCATACTGCCTCTCATATAGATAAATAGGTTTGTCTATTCATTAGGGGGAAGCAGGTTCTGGACCTGTGATTTTTTTTTATCACTGTGAGAAACTCCTGGTATACAAACTCCCTTCATTGATGCAGGCTGAAAAGTAGGTAACTCTGTGGATTAAACACTGGACCCATCTGGAGTTAGGAAGACCTACATTCAAATTCAGCTATAGATACTTATTGGCTCTGTGACCCTGAACATGTCACTTACTTTGTGTTTCCTCATCTGTAAAATTGTAATTGGGGCTAATAATAGCATCTACTTCTCAGTATCGTTATGAGAATTGAATGAGATAATATTTATAAAGCACTTTAGCAATCCTTAAAGAGTTACACAAATGGCATTTATTATTATTTACAATGCTAGCTGCCCGGGCACTGAAAGGTTAGACTTGTCCATAGTCACACAGCTAGTATATGTCAGAGGCAAGGCTTGAAACCTGGTCTGCTCGCTCCAGGGCTTGCCTTCTTAGCTACTATGCCACACTGTCTCTACGGAGGGGTGGGGGTTGGAGAGAAGAAAAAAAAAAGGAAAAAAAAAGGAAATTTACGTAACTGTTGTCTATTTGAAGGGGATAGCAAGTTGTACATGGTAGATTTGCAGTCTCATGTGCAATCATCTTTTTATTGTACTGTGTTATGGTAATGCTTGTTTTGTTCCATAAATTAAAAATAAAATAAATTTTAAAAAAATTTATAGGATATGTACATACGTTATATATATTTATGTGTGTATATGCATATAAATGTATAGATGTGTATGTGTGTATATATACACACAATATTGAATAGAAAGCTGGCCCAAGAAGTCCTGGGCTCAAATGCTGTCTCTGACATACATTAGCTGTAGGACTGTGGAAATACCATGTCCTATTCATTACCAAAATATCAATTTGGTTGGATTTGACTTTGCTCTACAACATGTGGTGAATTGGGTACTCACTTGGGGAATCATTTTGTAAAGACAGAGTGGAGGTCCTGGAAGAAGGACGTTCAGATGTGTCGTCTGTTGAAGGCTCGATGGATTTTGCATCATTCGGGTTTCTTGTCACTGTACTTTTTCTTCCGGCCTCCCCTAAGGAAGATGAGGCATGGGTGGACACTGAAGAGCCGGCCATTCCAGAATACTTAGTTGAGCCTTCTGGTCCATTTACCAACCAACTTCTATTAGCTGAAGTCCTTGAGGCGTCTTGGATGAATGTGATAGAAGCGTTTGTCCTGTCTGTCTGATTGGCCAAAGGATTTAAAGCGATTGAGTTCCTTGATTCTGTCCTAATTTCGGGGGCTGAAATAGAAGGAAAATTCATTGAACAATAACAGCTACCATTTATTTGACTCTTTACAGTTGGGAAAGCACTTGCCATATATTAGCTCATTTGATCCTCACAACAACTGTGGGAAGTAGTTCCTCTTATTATTCCCATTTTACATATGAGGAAACAAAGGCAAACATGGTTAAGTGACTTGGCCAGGGTCATACAGCTAGTAAGTGTGAGGCTGGACTTGAACTCACATCTTCCTGACTCCAAGTGCAATATTCTTCTCACTATGCCACCTAACTGCCTCATTCATTCAGCAAATATTTATTACGCATCTACTGTGTGTAACCATATTCTGATAGTTCATTGTAGTGTAGAGACTGAGTTCTCACAGGACATGCTGGTGAACATAAGCACTGATGATCTTCCCAAGATGGAAGGGTTCTGAGTAGGGCTTGACAATGAACACTTATTCAAAGCCCAGCCTTGCCATATGCAGAAGGGACCATCACTAAAAGGTGTCAGAGTGTCAGTCAGAGTGTCAGAGTAATCAATGAACATAATCTATCAACACAGTTGGAGGAGTTGACATCTGTGTCATGGGAGGGACTAAACCATATCAAAGAAATAAAAAAAATCTCTTGAAGCATTTAGATAAATCCAAGACCCTATGTCTGGACAGACAAAGACGATATGATGCTTGCCCTCAAAGAGAATACAATTTAACAGGAAAAAAAACAAGACCTATGCAATTAATGACCATAATACAAAAGATAAGATATAAATCTGTTGTTCAATCACGTCTGGCTCTTTGTGACCCCATTTGGGGCTTTCTTGGCAGAGATACTGAAGAGCTTTGCCATTTCCTTCTCCAGCTCATTTTACAAATGGGGAAATTGAGGCAAATAGGGTTAAGCGACCTGTCCAGGGTCACACAGCTAGAACATGTCTGAGGCCAGATTTTTAGCTCAGGAATATGAGTCTCCCTGAGGCCAAGGCCAGTCCTCTATCTATCCACTGCACCACTTAGCTGCCCTCTAAGACAGCTTAGGGTACTGGTGGGGAACTTGCAGTCTCAAGGCCACATGTGGCCTCCCCACCCCTGGCTTAGGGCCTGTCAGTTATGACCCAGGAAAGGGATCTACATTATTTATAGACAACATCAATACAACCAACAATTGTGGACAAAACTTCTAACCAAATTCAGGATGGATATTAGAAATAGAAAGTATCCCATCCTTTCACACCCCAAAATATTTTGAAAATGTAGTTGGGGGGCAGCTAGGGGCTCAGTGGATAGAGCACCAACCCTGGAGTCAGGAGGACCTGAGTTCAAATCTGCCCTCAGACACTCAACACTTACTAGCTGTGTGACTGTGGGCAAGTCACTTAACACTGATTGCCTTGACAAAAAAAAAATCTTTGAAAAGCTAGACTTCAAGATCTAACCCTCAAAATGTCTGTGGATCCCGACACTTTTTTAAGGTTTGTTTTCAGTTTATAGATTTCAAGCTGAAAGGAATGCTCAGAGACCATCTAATCTCATCCCTTTATTACATATATGAGGAAACTGCAATACGGAGAGGTAAGGTGACTCATCAGACATCGTAGTAAATACCATATAGAACTTAGGGACTGGACTTGGAGTCAGAAAGACCTGAGTTCAAATGCAGCCTCAGACTCTTACTGTGTGACCCTGAGCAAGTCACTTCACTATCTGCCTCAGTTTTTTCATCTGTTAAATGAGGATAATAAGAGAACTTACCTTCCAAAGTTGGTATGAGAATAAAATGAGATCATATTCGTAAAATGTTTTACAAACCTTCAAATGCTATAGAAATGCTAGCTGTGACGAGCCAGGATTCAAACTTGGGTCCTGACTCCAAATCTAGTGTTCCTCTCATTACACTAAGCTGGGGAATTTGTGTGTACATGGGTTAAGTCCCAAAGTTATCAGCTTTGTCTGGATACACAGTAAAAATTATTTTAAAACATGCCAAATGAATGGGATCAAGGCAAACAGAAATGATGATCCCGGGATTTGTGAACCAAAGCAGAATCTAAGTACAGCTCAATAAACAAATGCTTCCCTTCCAGAGTTTAATAATAATAAGGTTGATTTTTAAATTATGGAATCAAAACAACCAGAGCATAGGAAAGAACCTTGGAAATCATCTAGTCCAAAAGATACTTATTAATAATTTACAAAGACATTCTCCTAAAACAGTTTGGCCCATTGTAAGCACTAAGTATTAAGCACTTATTGGCCAGGTGGCTCTACAGTGCACAGAGTGCCAGACTTAAAGTCAGGAAGACTCATCTTCCTGAGTTCAAATCCAGCCTCAGACACTTAGCTGTGTGACCTTGGGCAAGTCACTTAACCCTATTTGCCTCAGTTTCCTCATCAGTCAAATGAGCTGTAGAAGGAAATGGCAAACCACTCCAGTATGTTTGTCAAGAAAACCCCAAATGGGGTCACAGAGAGTTGGGCACAACTGAAACAATTGAAAAACAAAAAGCACTTAATAAATGCTTGTGGAGTAACTGGAAGGTACTGGAGAATTATCTCTTTAACTGAGGCAGCACAATCTGGGTCCAAGTTATATGTAACAGGAGCTAGCTATTTAAACAAAATCATTATGTCAAGTAACTCAGAGGTTGCTTTTTGATTAGATGACATAAATCCAAGCTACTAGGCTCTATAGTCAGGGCACTAGAGCAAAGCAGGCCTGGATTTGAATCCTGGCTCTTGAACCTGGTCCCAGTGTGATTGTGAGCAAAACACTCCCCCCTCTTTGGGTCTCATGTTAGAACAAGGGAGTGGAATTATAAGGTTAATAAGGCCCCACACAGTTCAAGATGCTCTGACCTTAAGTGTTTCTCAAAACCTAGGCCAGCCCCGGCCACACATCCCAAAAATATTGCATACTACTTCCCCCCTTCCATTCCCAGGGTCACTAGAAAATGCTTATTATGTTAATTTTGTTATGTTTGTTGTTCAGTTGTTTCTATGATCTTATTTGGGACTTCCTTGGCACAGATATTGGAATGGTTTGCCATTTCCTTCTCAAGTCCATTCTGCAGATGTGGAAACTGAGGCAAAAAAGATTAAGTGACTTGTCTAGGGTCGCACAGCTACAAGTGTCTGAGGCTAGATTTGAACTCAGAAAGATAAGTCTCTCTGATTTTAGGCCCAGCACTCTATCCACTGCACCACTTAGCTGCCCCTATAAAGTATTAAAAATATGTATATGAATATAGTATATGTAAAATAAAATATAAAAATAGTATTTTTACTACTACTACTACTACCACCACACCACCACCATTTATATGGTGTTTGCTTTACAAAAACCGTCTCATTTTATCCTCCCAACTGTCCTGGGAGTTAAGTGCTACTATCCCCTTTCTATAGATAAAGAAACTGAGACAGAGCATAGTTAACTGGCATACTAGGGTCACAGGGCTAGTAGGCATCTGAGGTTAAGCTAGATTTGAATTCAGGTCTTCTCTAGGGCCAGCAGTCTAGCTAGTACACCACCTAGCTGCCCAATACATACTTCTAATATAAACACACCACAGCACCCTCCCACTAAGATATCATAAAGAGAAAAAAAAGAGGAGAGAGTGTATAAGATTTCTTTTATGCCCGTTGCCTGAGCTGTCCTAGAACTAAGGACATGTTTATTATTAATAATAATAATAATGACAACAGCTATATTAAGTTGCTGTAACAAACTATTAGTAGCTTATTGATAATTATAATAATAATAACAGCATTTATATAACACTTTAAGGTTTGCAAAGGGCTTTACAAATATCTCATTTAATCCTCAAACTCTGGGAGTTAAATGCTCTTATTATCCCCATTTTGCAGATGAGGAAACTGAGGCACACGGAGGTTAAAATGATTTGCTCAGGATCACATAGCTACTAAGTGTCTGAGGTTGGATTTGAACTCAGATCTTTCTGACTACAGACCTAGCTCACTATCTACTTTGGCATCTAGCAATAACTTGTGCAAAACTTGTGCAAAAACAAAAAGGGGAAGGGGAGAAGGAATGGATTTGGACTCAGGAGCCCTGGGTTCAAGTCTCAGATGCTAACTGTGAGACCTTGGGCAAGTCACTAAATCTCTTCTACAAAACAAGAAACTCATTTATTTAGCAGACACAGAGGAACCAGAGTAATACAACTTCTACACGTTTTATTCTAGACTCTATTCCACCCGTACATGCAAGACTAAAATAACAGCAGGTATAATGGAAAAATTGCAAAATTTGGAACCTCATGGCCTGGGTTCAAACTCCTGATCTTGAACTTGCAACTCTTACGACCTTGGGCAAGTCACTCATTTTTTTGGGTCTAAGTTTCCTCATCTGTATAATGAGGAGGTTGGGTTGTATGAACTCCAAGGCCTCTTCCAACTAAAATCCTCTTTACCTCTAACTATAAGATCCTATGATCTTATTTATAAAACACTGAATGTGTGCAAGGTATTGTGGTAAGTGCAGAGGATATGAACCTAGATCCAATCCAACCCCACCGTCCCTCTTAAAATGACACACACTACTGTTTTGTAGTTAATACTGTTTTTGCAACCAGGAGTAAGCTGAAGCCAACTCAAATTGGCTTACTAGAGACAATTTTAGTGTTAGTATCTACACCTGGGAAATCAACGAATGTTATTAATAGTGGTTAGATTGATTGTTTTGTTGATTGGCTTTAAAAAGTGATGGAGAAAATTGTCAATAATATAAATTAAACTTATTGGGAGTTTGAGTAATCCAAGAAAGCTTCATGGGGTCTTAAATGGAGTCTAGGAATTAAGTTTGGAGAAGTGGTGAGGGTACTCTGGGACTAGAGTAAATACTCACATGGAGACTTGGTTGAGGGAGAGGGGTAAGTTGATGTCTTGGAGAAATGTGGCCATAGCAGCAGTTTTGTGTGATTTCTTCCAGAAGAGAAGATATTTGGTCCTTCAGTCTCCAATACAGAAGTTGAAGTATGCATCAAACTGGAAGGAGTAGATATTTCTGTAGATGGAATAGCTCCTTCTCTGGCTTCCATGGAAGGAGTAATGCTAGTTAGAGACCTGAATGTCCTCTCTTTTCCCCTTGTCAGGAAGTCTGAGATGGTCACAAAGGTGGCAGTCCTTCCTTCTGACTCTGAATGGTTAGACGCCTGATGGAAGCTTTCCAGGGCTGAAATCAGATAAGGAAAAATTAAAATGTCAGCAGCTTACCAGAACTGCATAAATGTCATAATTAGATTTTTTGGAAATTTTTTTATTATAAACTTAATAATCACCAACAAGCACAAATGTATACAAAGCAGAACAAAAAAAAAGGGATTGCATATGAAACAATAAATTTCTGTTACATATTTTTTAAAGTGTGTTTATTAACAAAGTAGTAACAAAATTGTGTTTTTGTATCCCTTCTGAATTTTCTTTTGTTTTCTTCTATGTATTTCAATTTCTTTTCTTTTTTTTCATTAACTGGCTTCCAGTCCTGTATGATTCGAGGCTACAGGGATCAAAATTTGAAATAATAAAGAGCCCCCAAAGTGGCTTCTGATCCAGAAAAGTTGATGACTCGGTAGGTTTTTTTAAAAAGAAGAGAGAGTTGTTGACGACTCAGTGGGTCTTTTAAAAAGAGGAGAGAGTTGTCAATGATTCAGTAGGTCTTATAAAAGAAGGAGAGTTTCTGGCTAGGTTCTCTCAGCTGTAGCTGTTCAGGTGATATCATGTGAGGGGTGGAGGATGGTCCTTTTCTATCCCAGCATCCTGAAGACCCTGCCACAGCTCCCCATACAAAATATGGGGAGCTCACCAGGATCTCAACCCCATCAGGATATAATACTGCCTTATATCCTGGTGAGGTTTAAATATTAGCTTCCCAGATGATTGTAAGCACAGTGAAAAGTTTTTACTGAATTCTGTTCATCTTCTTAAGTCTATTAATGTGGACTCTGACTCTTCCATGGTTAGCATTTCTTTCCGTGCACTACCTGTCTGTGATATTACCTGTTTCATACTCAATTGTATGTTCCAGGATTTTAGTTTCCTAATCCTTGATCCATATCCTGTGTGTCAGGGGTTTGTGAACCATTAATATCTTGATAACTGTATTTCATTATAATTGATTTTCATTTGTAAATCCTATATATTTTACTTTAGATATTTAAAAACACTTCTGGGAAGGGATCTATAGGCTTCACCAGACTAACAAAGGGACTCATGACACAAACACCCTTGTTTTATGACATTGTGAGATAATTGCTCTGTAAACCTTTAGCGTTGTCAGAATGTGCATTAGTAGTGCTGATCACCATCCAGCCAGCTCCTGCCATGCTACAACTACATAAGTGGGCATCTAGGATTCACCTGAAGACCACAAGGGAGGAGGAATGCACTGTATTCCAAAGTAGCTCAATACACTTTGGGAGAACAACCACTGTTTCAAAGAGTTTCCTTACATCAAGTATAAATGTACCTCTTTTTCAATGACTGCCCACTGCTTCTAGTTCTGTTTGGGAACAAGTGAAATTAATTCTCATGCTCATTCTCTCTCTCTCTCTCTCTCTCTCTCTCTGTCTCTCTCTGTCTCTCTCTGTCTCTCTCTGTCTCTGTTTCTCTTTCTGTCTCTGTCTCTTTCTCCCTTTCTGCTTCTCTTTCCATATATATGTATATAACATATGTATGTATATCTATGTGTATATGTGCATATACACAAATGCATATATCTATATGTGTATATATTCATATATGTGGAAAGAGAACAAGAACAAGACAGAAAAAGACGCAGACTAGACTTTCAAATATGGGTATCATGGCTACACCCCTTACCTCTTTCCCCAAATCTTCTTTTCTTTAGGACAAACACTCCCGGTTTCTTCAACTGATCCTCACCGGGCATGAAATCAAAGACCTTCACCATCCTGGTTGCCTACTTCTGGACACTCTTCAGTTTATAAATGTCCTTTCTAAACTGTGTCCTTGTCATCAGGCTACTCTCCTCACTTTCCTACAAACATGTCACATTCCTCACTCATCACTGGTCCTCTTCGAGAACAAAGGACTGACACTGACAACAATTCCTCATTACCACCTCCGTACCTTTATTTATGTGTCCCTTCCTCCCACCTCTACTGCCATTGGATGCCTTCCTCATTCCTCTGCGCCTGTCCAAATCCTACCCATCATTCAATGCTTTCTTGACAAAACTCTTTGTTAAAAAACCACCATCTATCAAGCTGTGTAGATCACAAATCTTTGTGGCAATGTTCCCAGCAGCTAACATTTAAGCTGTCTTTAAGGAGAGGAAAAAAATCACAAAGCACAATCACACAAAAATCAAATGAACATTCTTGGAAGCTTTCCCAGATTGTCCACACTATCCCATCTGGTCCCTCTGAGACCAAAAGAACATGTGGCAAGATGTCTCAATGTGGTGACGGTTATATACTGTCTGTGAACTAGTGATTCCCTAAGACCTATGCCCTCTATATATGAGGACTTCATCAGTTTGGAATACCTGGCTCAATTAAGTAGCACATGGATAAAGGAAAGCCAGAGTCATAAATTTTACCCTATTTGAGCCAATATTCAAAAGAGATCAGTTTAATTATTAATATCTAGTGAAAATGCACATTACTGTAATCGTGACATGAAACTGGACATGTAATGCATTGAGTTCATCTATCCATATATATATCTTAGATGTTTCAGGTAGACAATGAGTTGGATCCAAGGTTGAATAGAAATAGAAATAGAAAAAGAAAATCAGTTGGGATCGCATTTCAGAAATGGTACAGAAATGGTACATCCCAGGCTACTTACTACCACAAAAACCATTCTCTTTAACAAAAGAATCTTGGTTCTGTTACTTAATGGCTATGTGACCCTGTACAAGTCACTTAAATAATAAACTTCAGTTTGTTATCTGTAAAATGGGGATAATAGCAGCACCTACCTCACAAGATCATTTTAAGGATCAAATGAGATAAAGTATATAAAGCACTTTTCAATCCTTACAGAAATATGAGACATTATTATTCTACTATTAATGTTGTTATTGTTGTTGTTATAGGTATGTAGTTGTGAACCATGAGACACCATAACCTCAAAAAAAAACAAAAAACAAAATGGCAAATGACCCAAAGGACAGGGGAAAATGCACAGGGTCTGTAAGCAAGCTACAATGCATCATTTATGACTGTCATATAAGAAGTAGCATGAAGGACATCATTAAGGACAAGTATGACCAAAAAAGTAAGTGTATCAAGAATGATGAATAATGGATTTTTCACATGCAGCAATGGTATACTGAAGTCATTGAAAGAACAAAAGAATGTTTCCTAATACATTAGGTACAAGGAAGGACGAATTCAAATAGCTTGATGTTCCTATGATCACACCGCTGTGGATGTTCCCACCAACAAAGCAGATCACAACCAATCCATGCCTGTCCCTCTTGTTCCATGCTCTTCTCTAAGTACTTCAAAGGGGAGAGGGAGGGGAGGGTTTCCATTCTCTTGACAATTTGAGAATATGAATGAGTATTACACAGGAGAGGAAGGAAGGAAGGGATTACAATCAGCTCTGGTAGAGGGAAAACCAATACAAGATCACAGATCCACCTAAGGTTGGGCCAGTTTACTTCATTGTTTCATGGCCCTAAACCTGGAACATCTTCCCCTGCCCTTCCCCAAACCCTCCCGCTCCAAGTATCATTTTTCACATAACTCAAGCATGAGCACCATGAACATACCTGAGGAGTTTTTCTGAGAGGACGGGACAGAGGGTATCTCTGAGAAGTGTCCAAGCGATGGAGTAGCATTCATCCTAGTGTATGAGGTCGTACTCCCTCTGGATTTTGATGTTTCCAGTGCAAGCATGGTGCTTCCTGAGGCATCCAGTGTGGTCCTGCTGTTGCTGGAATTCTGAAACTTCTGAAGACCTTGGAGAACCACAGTTGAAATGTTTTTGTAATTGAGAGAAGAGGTGGTAAAATTTTCTCTTCGAAGCTCAGAACTTTTATCTGGTTTGTGACTTTTCATGGCAGCTGAAAGAATAAGAAAGTAGTTAAGTGAGTACTTTCTGGTTTCCAGAAGGTCAATAAGGTGAGCCTTCAGAAAAATTACTGAAAGGAAACTCTGCTTATGAGCATTGGCTACATGTGAAAAAATTCCATCTTCCATCCAATACTACAAGTGGCATAGAGGATTAAGAGCTGGCTTCAGAGCTGAGAAGACCTGGGTTCAAATCCTGCCTCTGATACATTCTGGCTATGTGACCTCAGGCAAGTCACCTAACTTATCAATGCTCTAGAGTCTAAGTTGCAGAGGAAAGTACCCATCTGCATTGGTAGAATTTTTTCAGCCAGTCATTGTCTGTAGCAATCAAATTGCTATAGGTCCATTCCCTCTACCTGTCCCTTCACTCATTTAAAAATATTTATTGAGTATTTAGCATTGTGCCATATATGGATCAGAGACAAAAGTATCAGATGGATCATAAGCTCCTGCTTCCCTCACAACACATCTGTGGGTACAGCAATCATTATTTTCTCCATTTTATAGGTGAAGAAACTGAAGAGAGGGACGATTTGAACCCAGGTCTCCTACCACCACATCCAACCTTCTTCCCACTATAAAAATCTTAGGAAGGCAAAAAGTTACATCAGAACAAATACGCATGGCATTGTTTAAGTAACAAAGGGAGGTGGGACATGATTAAATACCAAAATGATTGGTTACATACAGAAGGAGTTCAAAGAAGGGGAAATCAATATGGGATTCATGGAGAAGGTGGGATTTGCAGAATGTTCACAGAGAAAGTGGAAAAAGGGAGCTTCACATCAGGGGAAAAGTAGGATATAATTCTGAACAGCTAGATAATATCCTGATTTTGGGGGTACAGAGTCGGCTTGAAGGTTAGGCTCAACTGTTCTATGGATCAAAGGGTTGTAATCTTTCAAAAATGGTGCACCAGAGTTCCTCCTAGTGTGTGTAATAGGAGGAGGGAGAGGTCATTCACATACTTCTGACCCTTACAGGGAAAATGGAGGTAGAGATGTCCAGCAGCAGAAAGAAGTTCACTGAAGATCAGCTCAGAACTAATTTTCTCAATCTGTCAAATGAAGATGTTGGACAAGATTCTCTTCTCCAACAAATTTGCTTCCAGCTCTAGCGTTCTGTGATTCTACAGTGAAATCAGTGTTGTAGGAAGACTTATTTGGTGGAAGCGCATAGGACTGATAGGGATGGTAGGAAAATAGATGCACGGAGAACAGTTAGGAGGTTGCTGCCATGACATAGGCCTGACACCATGACCACAATGGTGGGAGTGGCTGCGGTTTTGCAATCAGAGGATATGAGTTTAAATCTTGCTATTGTCTCTTACTACTCATGTGACCTTGACCAAGTCACCTACCCTCTCTGGGCCTCAGCATCTTCATCTGTAAAATGAGAGCATTGGACTAGGCCTTTAAGGTCCCTTCCAGCTCTAACTCTAGGATCTTAATATACTGTGATCTAAAGAGGTAATGGAGAAGAGATGTTTTGAAGGGAGAATCAATAGAATTCATTGCCTGATTAGAAATCATGGGTAAAGGAGGGAGGAAAGGTCAAAGATGACTCAGGTTTCATCTTGTTTATTGTACTGCCAAAGGGACACGCTGGCATCATCAATTCGGGTTTAAGAAAACAAAGATGCTGTCTATTTGTGATGGAAAATGGATACTACTTAGCACAACAAACCAGTAAGATATTATGAAGCCCTGAGCCTTACTAGGGACTAAGAAATATCAAAAATCCTCCTCTGCAAAAAGCAGGGACCCTAAGGCACTGTTGGTAAAGCTGAAAGTTTGAAACTATATCCCCAAACTAACTAAACTGTGTATTCCTCTTGACCCAGATGCTTCTATTTGGGGGTGCAGACTTCAAAGAAATCAAAGAGGTTAAGGGGACCATATGTACAAAAATACCAATAGCTGCTCTTTTCTACTAGCAAAAAAACCCTTAGAAAATAAAGTTATGCTCACCTTTTGGGAAGTGGCTAAACAAATTATGGTACAGGAATGCAACAGAATATCATTGTATCAATAAGAAATAATGAGATGGACAGTTTCAGAGGCAACTGAGAATGCTTCTGCGACTTGATGCAGAGCGAAGTGAGCAGAACCAAAAGGATAATTTATGTAACAAGTATAAAATTTCAAAGAAAAACAACTTTGAAAGACTTAGAAGCTTTTATCAATGCAATTACAGTAGCAGGTACCACTTGAGTCCCTGTTCCAATGCCTCTCTCCCCTGTGCTTGACCCTGTTCACACACACACACACACACACACACACACACGCATGCACACACGCACACACTCATATAGTCACTTCAATATCAGAGGCAGCCTACCAGCCATGACCACAATCAACCCTCAGCAACAAAGGGGGCAATGCCATCTTGCCTTAGCCACATATGTTTAAACTGGAACAAGTGGAAGAAAAGGATGGAAAGGTTTGATGCATGTGAAGATGTGAACCTTGAACATATCTAGATCTACAAGGAAAATTTTAGCAAGAATGTGAGCTCCCTCAATGCACATGGCCTTCTCACCCTGGAACATCCCTCTGTCCCTACAGCCCATTCTTTATTGGTGAGTTCCTCTCAGAAACTCCATTTTCGGGAAGGGCCCAGGGCAACCATCCTTAATTCCTCTCTTGGCTCTGCTTCTGACTCTCCAGACCTTAGCACCATTCTTCAGCTGCCTTCTTACATTAGAACATCTCTCTTCCCCTATAGCCTTCTTACCCTAGAACCACCCTCCAAACCTTCTCCTAAGTTCCTCCTAGAATTTCTATTTTGAAGAAAGGCCTCTAGGCATCCTTTATTCCTCTCTCACTTCTCTTTCTGAGCCTCTGGACTTTACCACCATGGCCCCCATAGGTACTTCCCCCACTTTTCAACTCCCACATGGGTGTGTGTGTGTGTGTGTGTGTGTGTGTGTGTGTGAAAGAGAGAGAGAGAGAGAGAGAGAGAGAGAGAGAGAGAGAGAGAGAGAGAGAGAGAGAGAGAGACTTTTCCTGTTAGAATGTAAGCTCCTTAAGGGCAGGAACTGTCTTTCATGTTGCTTGTATTTGTATCCCCATTGCTTAGCATAGTTCCTGGTATACCATAAGCACTTAATAAATGCTTGTTGACTGACAAATTGACCAACAAACCAAAATTCTATAAAGATGAAGCTGATAGCCCCCTCCTGGAGGTGATGAACATGAAATGCATAATAAGATACAGATTTTTGTACATGTCTAATATAGGAATTTGTTCTGCTTGACTATGTACATTTCTTATGAGTGCTTCATTTTTCTCTTTTTGTAATTGTACATTTGAGAGGTAAAGAAAAATAAATGTTTATTAAAAATAAGTAAAAGAACAAAATAAGAGCACTCCCTAGGGGAAAAAAATGTGAGTTTACAAAGATTTTAAGGAAATGGAGGGGAAGGAGGGAGCCAGGAGCTCAGGCCTCATGACCAAAAGGACCCATTGTCTATTCAGAACAACAGTGAAGAATGCCATTGATACAGGCCAAGGACCATCACTGGATTTCCTCTGCACAGGGCCCGATAATCAACGTTTCTAGCAGTCTCCGACCATAAGATTGTGTCTAAGCAGCAGGAAGTAAAACATAGATCTGGCAACTATACAGATAACCTAGTCAATGTAGAGAGTCATACCACCATACTATTTACTATCTAATACCTGTGTCTAGTTGGCTGGTATAATTCTAACATGGTTCAATCCCTGGATCAATCCCCTATCAACTCCAAAATGGAAAACTCAGTTCTACGGCAACAGACTTTACTTCCCCTTGCATCCAGTGAACTTGCACATTTGCCCTATTTGTCACAAGGAAAACTGGGTGAGCTAGTTAGAGATGGTACAATGAGACTCACCCACATTATTAGAAAAGCAAGCCAAAGTCTTTTTTGATGGATATCTAGCTGATTCTACACATTTAGTTGATCAATCAAAGAACTACCAAATCTCTGCTTTCCTGAATATTATGCAGATACAGGATGAAGGAATAGCTTAGACTGGGCAATTGAGCCAATCTATAACGCAGGCCTTGCCTCACAGAGTGACTTAGCTAAATATCATATTTCTTACGGATGAGCCCAATATGATCTCATTACTATCTTCAGCTCCATCATACTCAAAGAAATTAATCAAATTTTAAAATAATGTAAACACCCAAGAGCAAAACAGGGAGATAGATTTTAGCTTAACCTACAGGAATATTTCCTGATAGTTAGAGCTTATCTAAAAATGAAATGATGCCTACCTTGTAAGGTGCTTATAAGGTGATGGAGGTCTTCCAGTACAGACTGGATGCTCATTTGATGGGGCCATTACAAGGGAGTAAGGAGATGCAGTGAAGTGGGGGGGCATGGTACACTACTTTAAGTCAGCTTGTAAACGTGGTGAGCTCCAGTGTTTTTGTAGCCCAGAAGTCCTGCCATTTACAATGGTATACCCATTGTGGGTTGCATCTGAAGTAAAACCACTTTGGCCAGGAAAGGAAGGCCTGTGGAATTAGTATGGACATCACAGAACCTCAGAATCTGGAGAAAACTCAGAGGACATCTGTCAGTCAATTAATATTTACTAAGAGCCTATTACGTGCTAGGCATTGAGCTAAGCACTGGGAGATACAAAGAAAAGCCAAATTCACAAACAAAACAATCCCTGCTCTTAAGGAGCTCCCAATCTAATGGACAAGTTCTCAGAATCCTAAGTCCAGTTAACAGAAGAGGTTCACTTAGCTATAGCACAAGCAAGATACAGCAAAGACACAGTAGCTTAGCTTCAGCCTGGGGAGATTCAGCCTCCTTCCCCTCCTTATGAAACACATCTGGTCAGCAGGTACCATCAAAGTAACTTCTCCAATCCTTCTTAATTCCTATGTCTTCTTCTGTTAATTATTTCCTATTTATCCTGTACAGCATATAGTTTGCTTTGTATATATTTGTTTGCATGCTGTTCCTCACTCCCATCTCCATTAGAT